ATCTTCAATAAGTTTTTTCTATGTGGAAAGGTTTGTTACATTATCAACTTAATTTTTCGGCTATAAACGGTTTGATATGAACTACCAACCTGCAGGTTCATAGAATGATTCGTGCTGTGCTAAGGGTTACAGGGCTCTTAAATTGCAAATTTTTCAATTGTTTGAAAAAAAATATATGTTACAATCTCAATATTTCTGAGAATTTTGGTACCAAAATTGTGTTGATACTGAGAAAACTCTCGAAGTTATTGAGAAATAAGTTATCTTTAATTTCATTTTTCGCAAAAGAAAAAATTTAGCTTCCACGCAGGATTTCTCAGAAACTATTTATGGTATCAATTTGAAATTTTTTACACATCAATTTTCAAAGAAATAATTAATAGGATTTTTTTAATTTGAATTTTAATTAATTTTTTTTAAATTTTAAAATTTTTGTTATATAATTGTTTTTAAAAAAGTATTTTTTCTCTAAATTTCTTCAAAGTTAGTATAACTTCAAGAGTGAACCTTTTCATACCAATTAAAATTAATTTTGTAAATTTTGATCAATTTTGTACTTTAGAATCTTACTCGGTGTAAAATACTGATTTTCATATTTTTGAGAAATTGTCCAATTTTTATTTCTTTATAACATTTTAAATTTCTTCTCAAATTCTCCGAAAATTTGAGAAATAATGTATATATACAGTCAGATCTCTATATAACGAAGTCGCTAAATCCCGGAAAAAAGTTCGTTATATGGAACATTCGTTATATAGAGATTCATCTTTTAATATACTTTATATAAACCACATAAAACAAATTTTAAATTCATAAGCTCTATGAATTAAAAAAATTATTCGCATCTTTTTTAAATTAGTATATGTTTATTTTATATATCTTACCCATCAAAAAAGAGAGAAAGAAAAACTGCAAGGAAAACAAGAAAAAGGAATGTGAAGAATTCCCTGTATTTTCAATATTAAGAAAATAATTTTATATACTAAAATTAATAAATTTTAAGGACATTTTATAATTTAAAGCCTACAAGTAATATTAAACATACATTATTTTATGTTAGAACACGGGGCAACTCCACGGGAAATTTAAAAAGAGGATATCGAAAATGTTTCTAGTGAACTGGCAATGGGGGTTTTACAGTTTGCACTTTTGTATGAAACGTTCAAAACTCTATATATTTGGGGAAGGGGGGATCTAAAAAACCAGTTAAATTTATGACCAATAAGTTGTGTTAAAGATAGAATAATTTGAAATTTTTTAAAAATATTTTAAAAAAGGGAGAACAAAAATTGAATCACAAAGAAAAAGTTCGTTATATAGAAAATTCATATAGGGTTATTTTTTGATGAAAATCGTGAAATGTTAAATTCCCCGGAAAAAAATTCGCTATATAGAAAATTCGCATATAAAAGGGTTTGTTTATGAGGTTCGACGGTATATGATTATCATGTGGTAAAAAATTTTGTTATTGTTTCTTTTATTGCTAAGTTACATTGGTTTGAAGAGGGATGTTTTTTTCGAGTCGGATATCTGTTAAGGGTCCTGTGAGCCCTTTAAGCGAATGCGCAGAAAATGAACCTCCCATCGATTCAGTCACTGTATGTATAAGCCCCTCAACGGTCCATTTGCAACTAAGGGAGAAGAAGTCATCGTATATGACCCACCCAGAGAGTGAGTGTTTATCAAAGTCGCACTTATAAAGCAACACGAAGGCTATAGACGATGGACCTCTTTTTTTACGACACCTGGTGTTTTCCCAAGATCTTCCCCCCCCCCCGCCAGTGGGAGGATTTTCCCCCCCAAATTTATTCAGCGTGCACCAGTCTTCTACAGGTCTTTTGGGGGTTCGAAATGACATGTCAGCCACGAGTTAGTGACTATGGCCACTAAGTTACCGTGGCCAGGGACGTTTTAAGACCCTTTGAGGCCCTGGAATCAGAAATTTTAAGATTTTAGAAGCCCTGGGCCCCTATGCAAAAGTAGGCCCTACCTGAGATCTTTAAAAGTAGACAGTCAGCTATACTTGGCATTTACGGCCCGGCAGCGAAGCCTTGTTTGTTCACTAACGGTAATTTGAAACAAATAAATATGTACGACTCACAATCTCAAAAACCTAGACACAAACTGTCTCTACCGATGGCCGTATTTCGACTATATGATTTGGACGGTTTACGGTGTTAGGCACAGGCCACACCCAGGCCATGGACCCAACGGTTCACATACGTAATAATGCAGTCTTACCACTTTTGCCAATTGCCATGCAGTTTGAAATTTCCTGTTTCTCGGAGAATATGCACGGGAGTTACATTTGACCACCAAAATTATCCGGATCATTATCTTAAGTATTAAGACAAAGTCAAGAACGAAACGAGGCCTCCACTGAGGGTCAGAGCCCAGTTGGACCACGCCTTAAGACGTCCCTAACCATGGCCACACTCCACGAAGAGTTGAAAACCTGTTTACTACTGAAGGACTTCTAAGCGATTCTTGGGGAACATTTATTTATGTGCCATAACTGCAATCAATAATCATTCTCTGTTGTATTGTGCGTCATTTGGAATGTTTCCCTCTTACGTCATTTGCAGATCTTTATTTGAAATCGCGAATCTATTTAACACATAAACCATAGTTGTTTACTTCATTAGTTGAGATTTTCTAAAAATTTATTATGTACAGTAGCACGTCGTTTATCCGAGCGTGTATTATCCGGTGCGTCAAATATCCGGACCAGTTTTTTTTTTGTCAATTACATGTACTGTATATGAATACGTTTTCGAGCAGTGCAATGTTCAACGGTAGTTTTGCGTGAAGCCAAAAGTGACGGAAAAACATAAGGTCAGGGATATTTGGGGAATTTCAGTTGTGCGATTTGGAATAAGCTGCGGCCAGATTTAGGTGAAAAAGACTTCAATGACGACCACAGGGACGAGATTACAGACTTTGTGCAATAAATCCCAGGATTTCAAGAATGCGAAGAAGGAGTAGAAACCTGAATGGCATGCGATGCAGAAGACTGTGGATTTCAAATGTTAAATGATGACGAGATTGTGACTACCGTGCAAGAAGAATCCGAGCCTATCGACGATGAAACGGATGAAAACGAGGACAAGAACAACAACAACGAAAGTAGCAAGGGTCCACTGAAATACTGCCACATTTTCTGAGTTAGATACAGCTATGGAGTGGTACGAACACCAATCAGAGTGCTGTCCTACTCAACTACTGCTGCTCATGAGAATCAGAGACCTTACACCGAAAAAACGATGGTGTACAATGAATTTTGGCGAAAAATAAGTGATTATTTTCCTCAATAAGGTAAAATTGCGACAGTACCTATTTTGCTTTTCTTCAAGCACGTTTTCCCGCATGTGATGGTTTTCAATGTTCGTACGGTGTCCGGTTTCATATATTGCATGGATCGCTATCGGTTTTCGGTTATCCGAACAATCGCGTATCCGAACGGTGTCCGGTCCCAATTGATTCGGATAAACGACGTTCTACTGTATTATTAAATCTCCATGGAATGAATACTCAACCAGAAGTATTAGGTTGTGCTGCCTTCTAGTGTTCAATCTCTACACTCGTGCTGCCATCAATTAGCACTGCCATCTAGTGTTCAGTTTTTACACTAGTGCTGCCAATCTACAGACGCCGACAGATCTAAAAAGAAAATTCCATTTTATGGGGGTCAGGACACTGGCCAGTTTTATTTCTTTCTCGCGGAACAGAAACTTGTGGGAAAGAGTTGTCGCCACGACCTTTTTAAACTGGAGCTCGTAATTTTTTAAACGGCCACCATGCAACAGCACCTTTAATCGAACAGCGAAATGAGATAAACCTAATTAATTGGTGAGAGAGTGAATATTAACGTCGTACTATTAAGCTACTTGAGGGCTTTTGGTGACGTACTTCGCAATGTTGAACCATGGTCAAGTGACGAGGAGACACCTGTGAGCTGGCACTCCTCTCTCCTAACTTCCACTCTACAACAAAAGGAGGACGTTTCAGCCTCGACATATTTACACACAGTGCTTCGACCCCCCTCTGCATAGAGGGTCTTCAGCGGCACAGGGGCTCGAACTCGGAACACACCAAACACGAGTCCGTTACCTTGACCATTAGGCTACCGCGACCACCCGAATTAATGGGATAGAGTACAGATGATGACTTGACGGAAACTTTAATATGCCCAAGTATAATTTAATCCTGTAAATTCTTTTAAATGTACAAAACTAACATAATTCAAATCGAGTATTTTAGATGATGAGGATCAGTGGGGTATCTCTGAGCGTTACTCTCCGAAAGAAATCTGTAAAATGAATTCGCGAATCTAATTGTTTGGTTGAGTAAGAATTGAATGAACATCACACTAGAAAGCAATGCGAGAGCTTTTGTCGACGGACTTCGTAATTTTGAACCATGGTCAAAGGACGAGGACGGCACATGAGCAGATACTCCTTTTCAAATTACCACACCATGCCAATGGAAGACTTTGAGCCTCGTTAGATTTAACGTGCATAAGCCGCTCTACACGATGGGTCTTTAGTGGTACTAGGGCTCGACACACTCGTCACGAGTTCGTGAACACAACCACTTGGCTACCGCGGCCACTAAAATTCTAGATAGATGCCATAAACAGTTTATATCCAAATATGAAAATTTCTTCGATAAAAATTGGAAATCAGCTAGGGAAAATAAAACAAATACCAAAAATATCTGTAAAGAGGAAGTAAAGAATAATTTTATAAGGTGTAAAGAAAGAAATTGTGAGTATGTGTGTAAGGAGGGGACAATCGCGAACTTACACACAAACAAATAACATAAAAAATTTTTTTAAGTCAATTCCTACATTAGGTCAACAAAGAAAAATTTTATTCTAGTTACTTTTTATTAAATAATCACAATTAATATAACTATGTATATACATAGGACAGAATCAAATTTAATTATTCTTATAAAATAGTATAGTAAAAAAGAAATCACATTCTCAGAAATCAGGCCAACCCAGATGGATTTTGAACTCACGACCTTTGGATAAGAATTCCAACGCGCTATCCATTGCGCTACAGGTCACAACGAATAATTTTCCTTTCTATATATACTGTTGAACTATTATTTTCGTTTGTTACTATCTATTCATTTTTTAGTTTTAATGAATGAATTAATATTTGAAAAAACTGTATTAACATCGAGTGTCATACTCTGCAAGTTTAAAAAAATGTATTTGAACTTGAATGGGTGAATAGAAAATATTTTATTAACGATAAAAATTTAAACGATATATATATAGGGAGAGAGTGAACTAATAGTGGGAATTGAAAATAGGATTCTCAAAAGGATTATCTGTAAGGCCAACATGGTGGTAAATTTTGTTTCTACAGTTAGGCCTAAATATGTTTTATTTTTACCTTTCAAAAGAATAGATGAAGAAAATAGTAGCTAGTTTTGCAAATCCACAAATATGTCGTTTTCTTACCATGTTGTTTATTTTGGTCGATACATTGACATGAAGACGAAGGGAAAAAGTCCCGTGATCCAACAAGAATTCGCCAGATCTGAAAAACAGAAATTCTCCTCGCTTGATATTCAGAGACGTCTCTAGAACTAAAAGTGCGATTTAGGAAAGCGTTGTCATGACGACGCTTCCGTTGTTTGCCCGTGAACATTTCCGTCTCAAACATGAAAGCTGAACATCATCAACTACTACTAGAGAGATGGAAGAAAAAACGGAAACACTTTTGGCCACCCAAACGAAAATGTTAGGAATAAAACTATTTAATATTGATGGTTATATTAATGTCGCACTATAAAGCTACACCAGGGCTATTGGTGACGGACTTAGTAATTTTGAACCTCTGTCAAGTGACGGGACGACACCTGAGCTGGCCCTCCCCTTTTCTCACTTCCACAACACACCAACGGAAGGACGTTTGAGACTCAATAGATTTAACGTGCAACGGCCCTGTCTTCACGGTGGCTCAGCGACACTAGGTTCTGACACTTCAGCCACGAATCTGTTTATTTGTATAATCTTTTGGAACTGTTGAAAAGCTAGTTTATGGGGTTTCAAAAAAATACCCTTAAGGTATCCGACTACGTTCGGAACCGTGATTTTAAAAAAGTGCATAAATGGATAATTTTAATGATATTTAGTGTCACTTAGATTAGAATACATGTATAAAATTGTTTTGTGTGAGGACATTTTGATAAAAAAAATTAATTTAAATACATATATTTTGGCAAAAATTAACTTAGAATAACCTTTTTCAAAATGTTCTCCTTTTGTGAAAAATGTTTCTATTATAATAATATTTTGTTTATATATAGCTCAGACCTCTGTACAGAGGCTCAACTATGACTTTTGAAAAATTCACATTATTTTCAGAGTTACAACCCATTAAAATAATTATCAGCGTTTTTTTAAAAATTTCTCCCCTGTGTTGTCGTAAAACATGGATATAAATCCACTTCTAAGTTATATATTTAAAAAATGCTAGTTGATTCTCTGTACAGAGGTCTGAGCTATATACATGCAAAATATTATAACAGAAGCATTTTTCACAAAAGGAGAATATTTTGAAAATGGGCCATTCTATGTTCATTTTTTGTGAAAATATTGTACTTAAATCATTTTTTATTGTAATACTATTCTTAAAACAATTTTATATACATTTTCTAATCTAAGTAACACTAAATATCATAAATATTATCCAGTTACACGCTTTTGCGAAGTCACGTTTCCGAACGTATATATATTAGGAATAATAATATCTTAATCATTTTAAGAGAAACTCTTCATTTTGGAAAATAAATCTTAAATAAGTGTTCTAGCACGGCAACGTGTGATTTTCAGATTTATTTCTTAGCGTTTTTTGGAAAGTTCAACTAATTCTAAGAGCTTTAAATTAAATATGAAGAAAAACATCGACCCCCTTCCATCACGAATCGCATAGCTATAAAGCACGATATACATTTAATACTTTAATTTTCAACGTTAAGCCACCATCAAAATTGTTATGCTTTTATTTAAACTCTGCGTATGTCATTCACTCATATGCAAATATTTAAACCAATCAATTTATTTTTAATTCTGATTGCACGGGTTTGAACATTTCATCATCATCAATAACTTAAACTCGAAAATAATAACAAAACGTTCTAAATCACGAATTTTTGGCTCAGAAGTTGTATACGCCGTAAGACAAATTCAATATATTTTCAAGAAATCTGGCTATTTTAAAGCATATTTCTTATGAGTCGCCCCCCTTTAAGCTTAACATTGAGATAATATGACTGAACTTGGCTTCTAAGCCTATACTGCACAGCTGTTCCTATTCTAAAACATTTTTTTTCTCCATGTAATCACTCACGGATATAAACGCACAGTGAAAGGACACATCCATCTTAATACACTTCCAAATATGCCAATGACAATTTTAGGTTGTCATTGTTTTTAAAACATAAAGACTTAAATTTGTGTGTGTGATAAAATTTCTTTGAATTTTACAAGAACTTTAATTGATGCGGAAATTAAAATTCTAGTCTATGCTAACCTTAGGTGAAAAAAAAAATAAAAAAAAAAAAACAGCAGCACCGACATCCATTGAAGTCTTAACATTTCTCTATGCCCTGGGGCCCCTATGAAAACTAAGCCCCATTTGTTAGTCTTTTAAGTAGACAATATACATATAAAGCATATGTTGTCAAATACTCGTACAAACAGTAACAGGTAAAAAATAATTTGCGTGTCTCGCAATCCTAAACAAAAAGCATTCGACGGATTGTCGTTATTTGGCTAAGTGTTTATTGATGGTGTACAGTGGTAAGCCTAGGTCTAAACACAATATAAGGATAAATTTTTCCACTGTACGTCATTCGCAATTTTGGCACCTAGTTCAACATTATCAGTATTTAGGAGAATATTTTGTGACGGGTCTTTACGCAACCTTCACCAACTAATCCTCTTGGGGAATCTTTGGGCTAGCCATTCACGTTTATTTCACAGCCATCCCTCTCAAGAAGAAACCCTGAGATGCAAATTAGTTAGAATATATAAAGTTAGAGTTTGGCTTTCAAAATAAGATCTACATGAAGACCCTCTAATAGTATTGGACTTTTTGAGAGTGAATGGGATCATGGACTTGATCAAGCTTGGCTAGACAGAAACAACAACAAACAACAAGTTAGAGTCTGATAATTGTAGATCAGAAGGAGCGGAGCATCTGAATGCGGCGTTACTAAGGTGAGATTTAGAATTTACGCATCTTGATTAAAAGACGGATTTTAGCTACTAGACTAAATTAGTGGATCAAGTATCATTAGGTTAGGATTTGATTCCAGCTAAACTAATCTGATAACGTGCGGTTATTCATTTAAGGTGATTAGTTTATGTTATATTCTTAGCTTCCCTTCTGAAGATTACTTGTTTGAATATTGCAACTGGAATAATAATAAATTAGATTTATCATGAATTTTGGCATGCTTCTTGCTCCCAAGATTTAGGCAAGTGAGTACGTTGACAAAATGAGGAAGGATTTTATAGAGACATCTATTGTCGCCAAATTTAATAATGGCGACCCATTTTGTCGCCAAGATCAAGCAAACTATTTTTATTATAGAAAAAAATAATTTTCCATTCCATGTAAACGATTTTTCCGGCCGTAATACCATTTCGGCAGAGTAGTAAATAAATTTTCTGAAATTTCCGTAACAGTACATATACGAAGGAAAAAAAATGATTTAAATTCAAATTTATTTAAACTCAAAATATCAGAGAAACGTATCCAAGAAATTCATTACACAGCCCTTATCTGAATGTGACATATAAGACAGATTGCACCGTATTAAAAAATATTGATTTTAATCCCCACGGCTTTTGCAAAATCTACATTTATTTTTCTTTTGCGATTGTACTGGAGATTTATATTAGACTAAATGCGATTGCTTCACCAATATTATGGGAAGTAATAAATGCAGTAATATTTTCGAGTAAACATGGCAGATGGAACATTTTCCTAATATCTTGCCAAAATGAGAAGCAGCAGATATTTTGAAATAAATATTTTCATTTAACTTCAAATAGTGTGCGTCATATATGTCTTAAATCCATAAGTAAAGTATGTGTGTGATGCAGTAGCTCCACCATAACTTCCCGATGAAATTTTTTTTTTATTATTCTTTTAATGAATCAATATACAGTCGACCTTTACACAAAGAAGTCGCTGAATCCCGAAAAAGCTTTGTTATATGGAAAATTCATTATATAGAGGTACTCTTTCAATTTTCTTTATAAAACCACATAAAGCAAATTTTAAATTCGTAAACACTATCTGTTAAAAAAAAGTAATTATTCACACCTTTTCGTGAAAGTTAAATATTCATTTTATATATCTTGCCTATCAAAAAAAGAAAAACTGCAGGGAAAGTTTCTTGACGCTTATATCCACTTCCTGAAGAATTCATTTTTTCTTTGATGCTCAAACGCTTACGTTTTGAGATTTTTGAGCTACAAGAAACGAAGTTACCAGAACGACTAATCACCACTACAAACGACCGGAGACTAGTTCAAGGGCACGGAAACACGAGACAACTCTACTGAGGGTGAAAGGTGATATCGAAGATGTTTCTAGTGAACTGGACGATGAGGGTTAAGGGTTGCACTTCTTGGATAAAACTCCCAGCATTCTATTGCTCTCTGAGAGCCAGATACCTAATAAAACCTGTTTAAGATTTATGACCACCATAAAATGAGTTAATAGAAAGAATACCTTGAAATGTCCAGAAATACTTTAAAAAAAGGGAGAACAAAAATCGAATCACAAGAGAAAAAGTTCGTTACATAGAAAATACACTTCGCTATTTGGAAGTTATATTACGAAGAAAATCATGATATGTTCTTGGTTCCAGGAAAAAGTTGCTGTAAAAAAAGTCGCAATATAAAGGTTCGACTGTATTTATTAAATCTGTAAGGTAAGTTGATAAAGGTATGTGTTTTTTTTAAAGCCTTTCTTCAAACGTCATTTTCAAATAAGTGAAATAGAGTACACACACATCTGATTTTTTTGCTAAAGGG